AAATGTTTTAATCCGACTTTGCTAAGCTACGAAGCCGCACCGCTTGATGGATTGTCGGAGCATTACGGCTATCGTAGGCGGAGCCTCGCGGAGTGATACGTACTGTGCTTCAACATAATATTACCGTATTGTGTGTGTTTAACCTCTTTAAGTGTTGTGGATATTATACATGGTTATGCTGAGGATATGTCGGCCAGTTTCCACTGGAAATGCCTTTTGGTTAAACTGTCAGCGAGGAATTTGCATTTGCACTGTTAAATTTTTTATATAACTTTAATGCACATAAAAAACAGCTGCTTGTTGAAGTGAAAATACATTGATGGGTTTTTGCACTAATAAAGTTGTGGAGTTGTAAAGTGTTTTGTCTCGTGTCAATTATATCGTCAGTTATATCGTTATCGCAAATTTTCAAATGTATATCGTGATAACTATTTTTGGTCATATCGCCCTGCTCTAGCTGCTGGTGCAATAAGCTGTACGTTTTACGTCCAATGGATGCAGCTCTGATTAGTTGACTAATCGCAAAAATAATCGGTGACTAGTTGACTATCAAAATAATTGTTTGTGGTAGCCCTAGTTCTCAGTCATCCAGGTCATCGTAGTCTAAGGAGCTTGGCAAAAAAAGCGTCTGGACTTCTTTAAGTAGCTTGAAGACGTTTCACCTCTCATCTGAAGAACTGAAGAAACAACTTAGAGAAGTACAGACGCTTTTCTTTCCAATATCCTTGGACCTTTGTTCTGATTGGCTGCCTCTCACAAACAGAGGGTTCAAACAACAGGTAGGCGGGGCTTCCGCAGCTGAGATGAGCATACAAGGGCGTCCCCTATTTGTGACATCATGCAGGTCCAGCCTGAGAGTTCAGAGCAGCCTTAGCTTTGGGCTCACACTCTGAGCTCAGTGTTAGAAACCTGCAGCACTGGAACACGAGACGTGACAGGAAGTGAGGAGGAGGTGTGTGTGTGTGTGTGTGTGAGAAACCGTGCTGAGCTGTTCTTCCTCTGCAGTGAGCGACAGCTGCTTCAAGAACCTGGCTGAGGACCGCAGCGGCGTGAACCTGAAGGACCTGGTCCACGACCCTTCGCTGTGAGTCCTCATCAGCAGATCTGCAGCATGCACGTACACACACGAGCAGCATGACAGTAACTGTCATTGTGTCACTTCCTGCAGACTAGGAGGAGTCATCGCGGCCTACAAGATCGTTCCAGATGAGATCGACGAGATCAAGGTAATCCCAACAACAGGAGTCTCTGTTTGTGCCACTAAAGGGAAACGATTGAACGGTTTTTCACAGACGTTTGTCTGTCAGTGGGCGGGGTCTTCGTGTAAGTGAGGTCATCCGCAGCTCTCGTCCAGTCAGACGGCAGAAACTGGTTTAAACCCGCTGAGCATCATAAATACATGTTAAGGATTTGGATTGAAACAAATTAGAAATCAGTAAAAATTCTGAGTTGTGATTATTTCTAATCGTGACGTCTGCTCCACACGCACGAGCAACATGGCCTCTGTCTTTATGCATCGCTGTGTCCACGTGATCGCCACCGCTGGCATTTCAGACTGACACGTTTCTGTTTCTCTGATTCTGTGGCCGTGATTGCGGCTGCTCGGCGTTGGTGCTTTTATTTTGGCGGTGTGTGTTTGCAGGAAACTCTGCTGGAGTGGTGCGACGAACAGGAGCTGAACCTCATCCTCACGACCGGAGGGACCGGCTTTGCTCCGAGAGATGTTACTCCTGAGGTACAGGAGGTTCGGAGGCGCGGCTCGACGGCAGACCGCCGTGTTCTAACTCGCTGTGGTTTGTCGTTTTCTAGGCCACCAGGGAGGTGATCGAGCGAGAGGCTCCGGGAATGGCTCTGGCTATGCTGATGGGATCTCTCAACGTCACGCCACTGGGCATGCTGTCCAGGTGAGCGCTCTCGCTGCTCATTGACCAGTCACTGTAACGTGGCGTGCGTTTATCTTTGTAAATTCACATCTGGATCTGGAATGTTTTGGGAAACTGTCTGAATTTAATGCGGCGGCACGTCGAGCTTTAACCCTCTGAGGTGATCAGCAGGTGTGTCAGAGGATGATGTCACAGCTGTGCTCGGGTCAGTTATGGAGCTCTGATAAGAAGCAGACTGTGGCAGCTCCTGAACCTTCAGATGTGCTCCTGCATTAACGGTGCCTTCAGTTAGTCCTGTCACGTGACCATCTTGAACTCTCGGCCTCTCTGGGAGGATCTTCTTACAGCCAATCACGTCTCTGATTTACCTGGTTAGGTGCTGTCAGTCACATTGAACGTGTCACTTCCTGTTTCTTCTGTTACACACAGGATTCTGATGAACGGTGCAGTTTAAGTTTGACACAGTGTGTTTTCTAACCTGCTCTGTGTGTCCTCTCCTCTGCAGGCCTGTTTGTGGTATTCGTGGCAAAACTCTGATCATCAACCTTCCAGGAAGCAAGAAAGGCTCTCAGGTACGAGTCTGACTTTACTCTGCTCGGTCTGTGGATCTTTGCACTGAACTCGCCGGTGTGTCGTAAGACGTGACGATCCAGTCAGGTGGAGCTCAGCGTTTGTGTTATTTACCGTTAAAGTAGGAAGAGTTGAACTGCGTCGTTACAAAACTACAGATGTTGGATTACAGACCTCTGTGGGTGTCTCCAACCTTCTCCCTGACCAGCTCAGTCTGAGTGCGTTCAAGCAACGTCCTGAAACGTCGAGCAGCTTTTAAAAGTCTGAAAATATAAAGTTTGAGTGTCTAAGCCACCAAACGTGTGTGATCCACAGCTCAGAGTAACACAGGCTGAGTCAGGAGGACGGCGTGTGTGAGCTCAGACTCTGTGCACCAGTGAAACCAGTACACCTGTCACTGCAGTCCAGTTCACATGCATCTGTAATCTTCTGTGTCCCTAATGCCCACTCCCTCCAGCAGTGAGTCAGACTGTTTACAGACAGGATTTGTAGGCGGAGCCAGGTGTCTCACCTGTGGCCTCCAGCTCACACAGGAGTGGTTTGCGGCGGGGAGGAGAAAGCCAAAAAATGGCGGGGTGCCGCCCTGAGTCTGTAAAACTCAGAATGGCTGAAAGGAGCAGCTCGCCCTTCAGTGGCTGGCCCCTCCCTTACAGGTGGAGGGAGGAGTTCAGACTTTTGATATGCGCTCAGAGTAGAGCTGCTGCTCCTCCACATGGTCGGACATCTGACCAGGACGCCTCCTGGACGCCTCTGGCTGAGGAGGCGTGGGGCGGACCCAGGACAGGCTTGGGATGACTTGGATGAGCTGGAGGAGGGGGCTGGGTTTGGGCTACTCCGCGCGACTGCTGTTCGTGTAAACGATCCGCTGTGCGTGCAGCGTCTGCTGTGAGAGTTTGACGCCATGACGACAACGACGATGATGATGATGAAACTTTGATTTTTCAGGAGTGTTTTCAGTTCATTCTGCCCGCTCTGCCTCACGCCATCGACCTGCTGCGCGAGGCCACGGTCCGGGTGAAATCCACGCACGCCGCCCTGGAGCAGCTGCCCTCCCCCTCCCCTCTGCAGGCCAACACGTACGCCAACACACACACCAACACGCACACCATGGAGCGCGGGACCCAGTGTGAGGAGGAGGATGACGAAGAGGAGGACCGGAGGAGAGGTCGGCACGCGCACAACCACCACCATCATCACCACCACCACCAGCACGGCTCCTCCCACATCACCGCAGCCGCCATCGCTGCCAAGGTAAGCGGTGCGCAGGCCGCACGTAGAGCGGCGGCGGTGCTGGAAGCTGCCAGATGAAAGTTTAATGATCAGTGTGGGGAAAGTGGGTCACTGCAGCAGCTACTGTACCACAGACGCGTGCAGCGGCTGCTGCAGGACGCACAGGAATTACCGGGAAGCGAGCGCTCCGCGGGCAGGGCGGGAGACAGGAGGCCCGACTCCCAGTAGCGGAATGACATTTAGAAAACACTTCCTCCTCAGGGTCAGGCGGGTCGTTACAGGCTCCGCCCACGGGGCATTTCAGGTTCTTATAACTGTAGAAGAAATGAGCACCAAGGAATCCGTCGTCACGTTTAGATCCACAGGTCACGTGACAGAGCATCACGTGACCTGTGTCGGACGCTGTCAAGACGTTTCCATCAAACTGGTCATCATGGCTCCTTCATAAAAGGAAGAACTTGTCAGGTTTTAACACTGAAGCCTGATTTTTTTAGAGAGGAGACGACAGGAAGTGATGACGTGAGGACAGTTTCGGTTCATCGATACGCGCGTAAACACTTTAACTCGAGCATGACCTCCATCGTGTTCGGGGTTACCCGATGCAGGGATGTCCGGTGCGGACTAACTGTTGGCTTTAGTGTTGTTAGTTTGTAGCGTTCCTCTTAAAGCCACACCCCCACGGTGACCGCGAACAGCTCCTGTCGTATACGTTAATTTACAGAACGAATCCGTGTGTGTGAGCCCAGGTTTGAGCTGTGACGTGTGGAATGTTTCACTTCATCCCATCATGTCCTTCACCTGTGTGTCCATCAGATGAGCCATGCTGTGCTCATGGCTAAAGGGAGTCCCTACCTGCCTGGCCACACCCCTGTCCCTCCCACTCATTTCACCTGCTCCTCTGCCCATGACCATCAGGTGAGACTCCACACATGCACCTGTCCTCTCCTCTCATTGGTCAGTTCATTGTGTCAGTCACCATTCTTCATCAGCTCCTGCCTGAACTAGCTTGAAGATTATCTGATGCCGCCTTTTTTTAAGGTGGACCTACTATGAGTTCCAGTTCAACCTATGATAATAATGCTGGTAGTAAAAACAAATCAGAAAGTATTCAGAGTATGAAAGTAAAACTTTGCATGACTTCAATAAATATAGTAAAGTTATAAAAAGAACAGCTGATTGTGAGGGGGTCAGGGGTTATGGAGCAAGTGTTCAGCTTTGCAGCTTTAGGCTCCAATAAAACAACTGAAGGAAATCATTGGACTAGCATTATGTGTGTGTGTGTGTGTGTGCGTGTGTGTGTGTGTGTGTAGATCCCGGACTCGATCATTTCTCGAGGTGTTCAGGTGCTTCCACGAGATTCGGCCTCTTTAAGCTCCACCCCCTCCGAGTCACCCCGGGCGACACAGGCAACTTCCCGCCTTTCCACCGCTTCGTGCCCGACACCCAAGGTACAAACAAACCTTCACACATGCACACAGACAGCACCGCTAAGAGCTCGGCAACAAAAAACGCCATTCTGCATGAAACACCAGCTTTCCTGTTTGTGCTGTGTAACGGTCATAGAGCATGCCCAGTAGATGTACGCTGATTGCTGATCGAAGCCCTTTATCAAACAATGACAAGCACTTCCTGCATGATGAGAGCTTTTAATTACTTTCTTTATTTCCTGACTTCCTCCGTTTACTTCATAGAACCAGAAAAATCACATTTGATTTCCTGGCATAAAAAGCTGCAGCTTCAGGGCCGAGCCAATTTATGGTGAATAACAAACTCGTGTGTTCGATTTCATTGGAGCAGAAAAACGAGTATTCACAGTTAGACTTGGTTCACGTGCCATTTTTTCAAATATCAAATACTTTCTTATTGCCAGTATCTGAACAGA